AAAAAGCTTACAAATGTTTAAATGAATAAGGGAAAGGAAGCTATGGATATAGGTTATGGCTGAGAAGACATACTCATGAAGGCAAGTAAAGGCCCAGAGGAGAGAGAAAAACAGGGGAATTCATTTGAATTTGATGATAGAGTGCTGCTAAAAAATAATAAAAAAAAGACAAAGATTGAGTTCAAAGTATAAATAAAGATGATAAAGAGGACATAGCAATTGCTAACATTTACTGAATGCTCAGTATGTTCCGGGGCAATGGTACATGCTACAAATGTAGTGGCCCATTTAATGCTTAAAATGTATTAATATTACCTCCCTCCAAGGAAGGACATATGTGAGCTCTAGGGAAATGAGTCCCATCAGTAATGCAGAGGTATCTTCTGAGAATACACGTCAAATGGCTCTAGTCTCCCCAGACACCAAAGGATCTCTGAAGTGATTTCTCCTCAGTGAGACACACTCGTGTAGCAAGTCTGTGCAGCCTGACACTTACCTGGAAAGACACACTGGGGAGTTCTTTTGTCATCAGGCTCGCTTCTCCTTGTTCCGGCTGGGAAATCACATTTGCTTTGGAAAGTTGATTTCCTGCTAGGGAGGAAAGACACTAAATTTGGATTCTGAACTGAGTCTAAAAACCAGTCCTAGCACACTTCTGATCCTCTCCCCTTCGGAGCTTCTGAAACGAAGGAAGGTGTGGCTCATGAAGTACCCCATTTTCCACTCTCTACAGAAAAGACCTTCCACCTCGAAAGAGGGCACACCAAGCACATACCCTAAAACGATGTCCTGTAAGAGCAAGGATTTTAAGTCCAAATCCATGAATTTCAGAGGCTATACAGGATTGAGGCGGGAATGGTGCCAAGGTAGGTTTTGAGTTTCAAGGAGTGGTCCTTACCCAGCGAGACCCAGCTGCTGTGGTTCTCCAGCATCACTTTCCCACAGGTTCCTCAGGGCAGAGTCTAGTTGAATCCACTCCTGCCAGGGGAAATCCACAGACGCATCCTTGAATGTCACTGACTCCTGAAACTAAAAATTCCTCCTCACCTAAGGATTATGCAAACAGACTGTCTGAGAGAAGTGAAAAATTCAGCAGCACTAGGAGAAGAAGGGACAGGATACAGACATCTGTATGAGAAAAACATGCTATCCTCCAAATAAAACATCTGCAACAAAAACAGACAATATTATGAGATAATCAGAGATAAATATAATATAAAAAGTGCTTTGGGAGTTAAGGACTGGAAGAGCTGGTATGAGGCAGATACAGGGAAGGTACTAAAGCCTGCCCTAGATTCCCACTGGAGAAGAGGAGGGGGTGTTCTGATCACCTCCTATTAACCCCACTGGTGAGGGAGGGAATCCCTGCTTTAAATAGTACAAGATGACCAAACACACGACATCTGACATGGGACAGATGAGGTCAACAGCAATTTATCGGTCACATATATTCACAGCCTGGGGGAGGAGGATGCCACATGCCATGCAGGGTCACATGGGGGTTACACTCAGGAACATGGTGAACCAGCAGGTCTGTGAGAGGCAGGCTTGGTAGTGACAAGAGGGGAGGTAACCTCTGGTTACCATGGGAGGATATAACTGGCTTGTTTGAATAATCTGCAGGCTGGTAAGGAGACAAAGCCATCAGGTTGAGGACTGGGCAGAGTGTACCTGGCTGACAGGGGGGCTGGCTGCAGAAAGCCTCTCCTGCTAGGAGGAGGCACATCTATCTGGTGAGAGCAGGGAGCTCACAGCCAGGTCTCACAGTCTAACTCATAGCCCTGTAAGGCTCAAATACATCATGGGAGCACAAGGCTTTACAATACAAGTAAGAACTCCAGTTACTGGAGAAAAGCGTGTGTAAA